GTGAAGATTTCCCATGAGCCTCATCCCACACAGCCACATGTTTCAGTGTACTCTTGGTCAGGATGTGATGTCCTGGTCTGGTCCAGGGCCCTCAGTTCCAGTAAAAGGAAGTCTTAGCATATAATGATATGTCAAACAACAGCAGCACCTTTGGGATGAGCTGGAACTCTAGTGGCTAATCTAACATCTGTCAGCTAACACTGAAACATTTACAGTGAAGCTGATTAATGTGATCCGTCCCTGAATAAACATAAATAAGTTAACTGTAACCCAACAGTCTGATCTCACTGATGTACTTGTGGCTGAAACCTGAAGGGCTGCGATTCATTTTCATTCAAGCCTGAAGGATTCTGCTGAAACTCTCAAGACTTTAAATCCTTTTGTTTGATGTTTAGTCAGAATGAATCTTCCGGAGGCAGAAACAAAAAAGCAGGAACATTGGGTCATATCTGAGTCTAGTTTTTGTGCCACAGATTTGTTGCTTCAGTTCGGTGTGTGGATTTCGTACCGTACTTGATCTGAGCGATGTCTCCCACCACGATCTCGGCCACAGGGATCTGGATGACCTGACCTTTGCGGATGACTGTGAATTTTTGTTCCTGCTCGATGCGACTCTGCAGCCCGCGGAACTGCTTCTCCTTGGACCAGTCATTGAAGGCTGTCACCAGGACCACGATGATGACGGAGAACAGGATGGCGGCGCCCTCGATCCAGCCAGCCTGGGCCTCGCCCTCGTCCTCCACGCCACCGGCAACCTGGCCGCATGCTGGAAATAAATGAGGACACGTTGAACTAAATAACAGAACAAACTAACTGACTGACCAGGTTAGTGAAAAGCCACGACAGAACTCAGAGGAAAGGTTGAGCACTGTTTGTTCACACAAAGAGAGCAGCTCCACTCATCAGATTAATAAACAGCTCAGTCCTCCATCCCTCAAGGTGGACGTGCTGTCAGAAAGCTCAGAGAGGTGGTGAGTGGCGGTCCAACAGAGTCCTGCTGGCCGGGAGTTGCTCTGTGGACACTGTGGTTATGTGGTGCACACTTTAACCAGCCGGCTACTAGTTTCAAAGTGAAACTCTGAAATACAGAATATCTGCACAAATACAAAGTCACGTCTCAGTGAAGGAGGAGGCACAGAAGTCAGCAACTGTCAGTCAGCACTCACTACCTCCTCCTGTGGCAGCTTACAAACACCTTCTGTAGCAGCAAGGAGTCTTTCTGTTCTTGATTTAGGAATTTGCAGATCACTTCAAGTTCTGAGATGAGTTGAGACGGTCCATGTTCAGAGCGTTGGGCGTCGACAGATTTTCAGCGATCTTCGGGTCAGCAGACTGTGATGCTCAACAGCTTCAGCTTGTGTTTCTTGAAGGAGCTTGTGATGATGCTGAGGTCTGCTTTGGACTGTTGTCCTGCTGTCGAAGCCACTATTCAGCTTCAGCTTCACAGACTGCATGACATTTGTATCCTACATGTGCTCATATTTAGTGGGATCACAGCCCTAAAGCGTCAAAATGCTGCTCCCTTTGTTTCTAAACACATAATGTTAGGATTATATGTTACAGAGTTGAAAATAAACAAGAAATATAATTTATACTTGATTCAAGTAACTGCACAATTATCATATTTTCTGTAAATGTAAATTCCACGTGTTGAATCTTTGGAATTTCACTCTAATGGAGAAACACTGAAGTTTGATTTTCCCTTTTTTTATATATATACAAAATCTAACAATGTTGGGAGCTAAAAAATAAATAAGAATAAAATGTAATTGTAGGCTTGACAGTGTGAGTGCACTGACCTTCACTGTCGCCCCCTGGTGGGTGGTAGAAGGACAGGCCCAGTGAGATGATAGCAGCGATTTCGAGGATGATTAGTGTGACGTCCTGCAGGGCCTCCCACACCAGCTGCAGGAACGTCTTGGCCTTCTTTGGAGGGATGAAGTTCTTTCCGAACGCCGTGTGACGTTTCTCTAAATCCACGGGGTTACCAGACAGACCTGCAGACACAAACATGACACGTTAGTAATACAGCCCAACAAAGGGTAAAAAACATTTCTAAAATAAAACTGTTTGAGTCAAGAAGCAAGAATCCAAGGGCCACTGAGTAAAAGGAATGATCTAACAGCAGCCTGATTTCACCAGAACCCTTCATCAAGTGTTCAGGTGAAGGTTTCTGGGACTGGAAGCTCAGAGTAAAGCATTCTGCAGGACTCTCACAGTATTTATATCTACTATGCTTTGGAAATGTGTATATTCTTCTGTGCCTGACCAGAACCAAACTCATTCTGCAGCAGGGAAGCGACCCGGAACATCCAGCCAGAGTCACTATAAGAACTAGAACTTGAGCCAGCAGAAGAACAAGGAGTCCTCAGCAGATGGTTGAGGAACCAGACAGACCAACATCATGGACTCAGACATTAAGACAGAAGACACTGAGACAGACCGAATCCACAGAGGAACTGTGGCAAATTCTTCCAGATGCTTGAAGCAGCGTGTTTGCCAAAGACCAAGAAAAACTGAGGAGAACTGCTGGTCGCCCCAAGTGCTGATGTGACTCTTTAACGTGCTGTGCTCTCTTTTTGTTTGTTAGGGTTTTTTGTTCCTGTCACATTTTTCCTCACTGTGGCCTCCTGCAGTATAAAGTTCTGCCCCTCCATGGAAACAGAGCAACCCTGTGACTGTGACGTTATCATGTGACTACAGATTCTGGTGCAAACAGTTTGTTTTTGGCTACCTTTTAAATGTAAAACATGGGGATTTTGCTGAAATATCAGTTTTAAGCATAGATGTGGTTCATTTTCCCGTACAGACCAGCATGCGACAGGTGAGTAGTTCAAGAAACAATACAATGGCCAATACGTGGTGTCATTTTGGTCTTTTTTAAAAGATAAGATGCCTTTAAAATGTGCTGGTGGGTTTTGGGGTTCAGAGGATTCATATGAATTGGTTTTGAAGCTCTGGTTGTCACCCACATGTCATTCAAAGCAGCCACACCCTTAATTCTTTATAACTTTAAGCATTCGTACAATATAAACACATGAGTGCTGAAAAAACAACCTGCCATCTGTACAGTTGACCTGAATGAGGAAATAAGATTAGAAACTAAAACAGTTTTTTTTTTCTACCAGGCTGTGGACGTGTTTATTTCAGCTGTGGAAACTGAGACACTTTTGGAGCCTCAAGTTGAGTCTTGAGGAACTGCAGTTTTTGGCACTTTTGTTTTTTTTCTTCATTCCTCAGCTGCTTGAATGAAACTAGCATGACAACTATCTGATACGAGCTTCCTTCTTCCTGCATTTACTAAACCTTCAGTCTGAGTGCTGCTGATGAAATGACTCCTGTCTTTAACCTTTATTGGAAGTGTGTTGAGGGCAGAAGATGCACTATAGTTATAGTTATGAAAAGTCGAGATTGACCCACTTTTGTTGCAGGCTGCAGTATTTCCATACGCAGTATTTATTTGGGCGAATCCCCAGCACAGATCTGTCCCACCCAGAAACATTCTGTAATGCTGGATTCATTATTTCCTCCTTTTTTTGTCAGGAGATGTAACTTTTTTTAAAAACTCACTTAAAGGTCACATGAATGGTGAATTCAGGTGCAGCTTATCAGACTGGGAGAATAAATCCCGTGTTCACAGGTGAACTACGAACAGCTGTGAGGAGAGTTTTCTACTGCTGGGTTTCTCCAACCTTGTGACCCCTTAAAATGACCCCTCTGGTTAAGAAGGGTTCAAGCCTGCTGAGCTGCCATGACACAGGAGAGAAAACTGGAACGTTAAGAGTTAAGTCTACAGATATGAACATAATTTTACAAATGAGAACTATCTGTGACTCCTGCTCCTGTCAGTCACTCTGAGGCCTTGACAGGAGGGTCCTGAGCCCCCGGTCAGGGATCAATGCTGTGTGTTTGTATCTGCGCAGTGACGGCAGCCTGAGATGACCTGAACCCTCCCCTGCTGTAAACACAATCTGCTGCTGCAGCTGAGCCAAACAAAGCAGCACCTGATCAGACAGTGTGATCAGCTGACTCTCATGAAGCTAACGCTGATGCTCAATAAACACTTGTTTAAAAATCAAGGGGAAAAAAACGGTGACCATCTATAATGGAAGTCACCGTAGCAGCCGTGTACACCAACAATAGAACGATAAAAAGCTTCAATACCAGCAAACCTGTGTAAATATCAGCCGTCAGATTTCTTCAACTAACCGATGAGTTTGGCGAATTAAAAAATGGGTGTGATGCTTCTCTGTCTGCCTGCAGAACGAGTACTCCCAAACGCCTGCTTACAGAAGACCAAACAATATCTGAGAGTTATTGATTCCAGAGCTGTGACTGTCATTTTCCAGCGGTGACTCATGTCTAAGTGCTCATTCATTCTCCTTATAAAGACAATAAAAACACGGAGATTTCTCAGTTGACACGGCTGCTTACAGGAGGACAGACCAGGAGCGCTGCAACCATCTTAGAACTCCTTCTTGTTTCTATTTCAATCCGACTTTGCAAAAACACCATTTGCAGGCTGTTACAGTCTGTTAATTAACAGCGGGAGTCAGCAGCTCGTCTTCACCTTCATTCTCTCCTGACCTCGTTAACTCTAGCTGTGCTAAATGGCGTTTGCAGCACTTCTGACAGCACTCATCTACTTTATTTTAAATAAACGTGTTTATTTTGCAGCGAAACCTGGAAATCTGAGACTTCCTCTGCACGGCTGTGTGGGCAGCAACATGGCTGCTGTGGATTCTTGTGAAATTGGGAGATGTGCAGTGGAACGTGATGTGAATGTCAACAGACCGCACAGCCAGGATTTCTGATGAAGGCAGACTCTGTAAGTCGGCATGAACATGAGCTCAGGCATGTTTCTGTCCTCATATGTTTCAATAATGGCCTCTTACTCTCCGCTGGCAGACTGAATGAAGAGTTCCTCTACTCCATCTCAGGAAATTCTCTCCATCTGTCTCTCCTCTGTGGATGCAGCAATCAGGAGCGACCACCAGGTACCAGTTTCTGCCATTTTGAGGGTTGGTCTACTTTCAGACTATTATGCAGCACACACAGACGTACTCGTTTTCTAATCTCCCTCCTGATTCATGTCATCTAATCTTAATTGGATAGTTTCAGTGACAGAATTATTGAACGACTGAGCGCTGAAGGTGAAGATTAGAGAAGAGGTATGATGCGAGATGAGGAGAGGCCAAACGAGGTGAGGGAAGAACAGATTCGTTGTGGTGGTGAGATTAGATGATATGAAATAAAATGAGGTGACATGAGATTATGTGAGATGATGGAAGGTCTGGAGAAACTGCTGACAGATGAGGTGCGGTGAGATTTAATAAAACGACACGAGGCGTCTCATGTGAGGTTATTCAAGGTGATGTGAAGTGACAGAAATGAAGCGATGAGCAGAATCTCCTTATTGCCCCTTCTCAGATCTGTCATGAAACCTTTTTAACGGCTGTGTGAAGATAATTGCTGTGTACAGAAATCCGACTTCTTCCGCTCACATTAATCAACACAATTGTTATTTTACATTGTGATTTAAGTCAAGCCACTGCTAATTAAATGGCACATTTTAAACAACAGATATCGACTGCTTTCCCCCAAAAAGGGAATGAGGTTTACGTTGCAAATGCATTTAACCTTAATATTTAAACTTGTTAATAACCTAAAATTTTAGCTATTACACAAATTTGCCAAAGTGATTCAAAGATGAAGGATGAAATCCAATTAAAATCCTATTAAGTTAATTACTTTAACTACTGCGGTTACCAGACGTCAACAGACACATCATTTGTCATTTAGCTTCACTGTAGTCCTTGTCATGGTGCCCATTGCTCGTTAATTCTCTCTGACCAACACAAGCTGCCTGTAGTCCGACTGACTGCCTCCACTGGTCGTTACAGTATCAAACGGTAGCCTCCACCTGGTGGAACAAGCAGGTACTACAGCTAACCCATAATACATTTTCTGATACGCATGCTTTTGAAGCTTGGAGTCAACCGACTCTCTCCACAATACAGTTCTGACAGTGTTCTACTGGAGCTTTACAACAAGGTTCCCAACCACCTACAGAACTTTAAGGAACAGCTTGAATACAGAAAAGTACATTTGTTGTTAATGCACTATTCAGCTGTCAAGCATAAACTTTTGATTGATTTGCATAAATTAATGTATTTGAAGTGTGTGTTATGCAGGAAAATGTTACTGGATTGGAACCAGGTGTTGGCAGATAAATACATCGGGGACATTCCTAACTATATATAATACAAATTAACCTGATTATTTAAATATTAACGTTTAAACCCTACAACATCAGATCACAAGACACCCTTTGGTCTGATGTGACAGCAGATAAATGAAGATTAGACAAGGTGAGGTGGCAGATGATGGAAATGCGATGAGGTGAAGTGAGAGGAGATGAAATGAGTTAAATAAAAATGAAATAAAAGCAGGTTGGGGTGAAAGGAGCATGAAGAGACCTTAGGTGGAAAAACCATGAAATGAAATGACATGAGCAGAGTTTAACAGTGAGATGGTGGCATGAGGTGAAGTGATTTATGATACGGTGTGATTTTTAAAGGGTGAGGTGAGACAAAATTAGATGATATTTGTTTTGGAATCAACAAAAATCAAACTGGAACATTAACACAGCACGCCGCCACACAGCAGTGCATGTTAACAGAATCCTGTCTGAGTGACAGACCAGCTTCTCAACACGCTGACTGACTATTTCTGTGCTTTCAAGCTGGAGAAGAAACATCTTCAAGATGAGCAGGGGCACATGCAGAGATTTTAAAAATACACCAGCTGTCAAAGTCATCGTTAACAATGTTTCATCACGCTGCAGTTTAGTTCAAAGTCTGGTTTGATCATTTTGAAGGCGGTGACTGATGCTGAAAGCTACTGTCACACTAAAACAAATAAGAGCAGCATCACAGAGCACCTTTACTGGCTGTTTGATCGATACGAGTCTGTTTTTCTGGTTTAATGCTGTGAT